CCCCCCCCACGCGTGTCCCCTTCCCTCTCCCCGGCTCTGCCCTGCGGGTCCCCCGCCGGGGGGAGCAGGGGGGGGTTGCGGGGGACATGCGGGGCAGAAAAAAACCCATTCGCGTGATTCCTGCGTGCGCACCCCCAGAGAGCGATGCGGAGGCAAACTCCCCAAAATCGGCTTTTCTCTCTCCCACACGCTCGCAGGGTCTGGGGTTTGGTTTTGGTTTTTTTGTTGGGTTTGGGGGTTTTTTGTAACCGTCCACGGCTACGGCTATAAAACCTGAATATTTCGGAGACAGAAGAAATCCCCCTCTTTTGCTCAGCATGGGAGGAACGGGAGGTGGGGTGAAGTAAACAAAAAAACGCAGTTAAGCAAAAAACCCGCTAAAAACCCAAGTAAAACAAACATTGCTTTTAGCAACAATTCACCATCTCCAAGAAAAACAGCGCTTAATAGATACAAAATACGCTTGACCTTAAAAATGTCTTTTTTTTTTTTTTTTTATTCCCTGATGGAATTAAACCAAAAAAAAAAAAATCAAAACGGGCCCTGCCGGATCTGAATATTTTCTTTTGAATTCTGCGATGATGATTCTCCTTTCCCTTCCCTTTCCACGGGAAGCTAAGGACACTGCGAAGGGATTTTGGGGGAGGGAGGGGGGGAACCCATTTTTGGAGGACTGTGGAGGAAAAATAGAAATCCCCGAGCGGGCACTGCGTGATCCCCGGCCGCGGGCTGCAAAGATTTTTCTGTTGCAAAGAAGGGGGAGAAAAAGAAACACACACACACACCAAAAAAAAAAAAAAAAAATACCCACATCAGCTTTGATTTGCCTAACGTTTCCAAAACAGAGCGGACTTCAGAGAGCCCGTCGGGCTTTGATGCCAAAGCGGGGTGGAAATCACATCAGAAATAGTCAAAAGAGCCAGTTACAAAGCCACTGGTTTGCAAGAAAAGTTAAACTGGGATATGATTTCCTCTGCAGAGGAGAGAGACATTCCCTCCGCATTCTTCCCCGCATTCCACTCCGGAGCTCGGGAGAGATCAAATTGTCCATCTGCACTCTATTGCTAATGCTCCTGGATCCTATTTCTTGTGCCCGTAAAGCTTTTACAGGCCCGCTACCTTGAGGCTATCGGAGTTAGGGTTATTATCCAGCAAACAACTCACTTTTTCTTTTTTCTTTTTTTTTTTTTAATACACATGGAGCAGTTTCAAATAACTTCCTCTCAAAGCCTCCTGTTTTCTTTTAGCAAACAGAATTTCCTGGTCTTTTTAAAGTTGGTGTTTTCTTCCTGCCTCTCAAGTAGACCGAAAACATTACATTGCTATTAATGTAGTTATTTGGAATAGCTGCTCCCAATTTCGCCGGGATCGACTCGGCCCGAAAAGGAGTGTTTATGCTGCATGACATCATTATTTCTCTCTGCGTGTGATTATTATTAGTTTAATCCAATGCATTTATGGAGGAAAAGGGAGAAATTAGATCTATTCTTTCCTCCGGTTTTTGGTAGGGGGGCGGGGG